TTGTTTTCCTTATCGGCTAGTCTGCTGTTTTAATTCGTTTGGTGGCAAGCGTCTGCCCTGGCTCAAGTTCGGGTAAGATATAAACACAGTTCATTATCTTGAACTTTTCCATTCTTAGCATGTAAGGCGTATTTTAATTACAGTGTCGGGTTAAAAATTAAATTTACGATTTGAACGCTGAAGCAACTCCCCACGATGGGTTCCCTTGCTAACTCGGGAACCTGAAGGGAAACCCTGCGCGGTTTGTTCAGTTTTGACCATTTTTAACAATATCTTAATCCGTTATTGCGAGGCACAAACGCTTGCATTTAAAGTTCTTTCCATGACCGATAAGAATTTTGATAATCGCTTTTTTCAAGAATGCAACTTAATTTCTTCTGTCCTTAAAATGCCTCTTGTTGACTTGACGACGTGTATTATTTTCTCTGGTTATATGGAATATTCTATAGCATAAGGAAAATGCAAGATGGAAAGGACGTTTCCCCAAATTTCATGGCAGAGTTAATTGCTTCTTTTGCATAATCGTCCTCAGGAAGATATTTTTTACAACAGCCTATCAGCAATTTTTTTCTCCTCTGGACAACATCATCATGCTTTCTTTACTCGGACTATAATTGCTTGTTTGCTTCAAGGTTGTCACAAATTAGGCATCTTTATGCTAGCTTAGGCTTTGTAGTCTTAACCAACAACATTCAGCTGCACCAATACCGATGATACGCGCAGAATCAGTAAATTTAAAATTTCATAAAACTGCTGAATCATTTTAATATTCTTACTTGACTTTTCAATAAAATAAGGAATTTAGCGCACATGAACTGTCAATCAAACATCTTGATGACATTTCCGCGACTGCCGCTGATCTCAATTTGCACGAAACAATTCAGTTCCCAATGACTTTAGGTATTGATTGCGTATATAAGATTTAGAGTGAAAAGCTACAAAAGGACAGTCTGTGATTGTGACTAGCGAGTACAAATAAGTAATTCATTTTAATTTTGGATATTTGCTTTAGCATGAGAATGATGTAATGGGTGAAATTCTGGTGTAACTTCAGTCCGTCAGAAGTTGGTGCCTCAAACCAATTTTATTCCCAGACCTTCCTCTCTCTCTCTCTCTC